ATTAAAGAAAAAAGGGATAACAAATAAGAGATCAAGTGTGGGTAGCACACCTCTCCCCCCGCCCCTGCCTGAAGGGTAAAACAATCCACACAACTGAATATTTGGAGCGGTATGGAAGCGAGCGCCGTCGCTAATTTTTAGCAAAGGGGAAATTTTTCTTCTACATCAATGCACAACAATAGAACCATAAAAATTCCTCAAAATTTTTTACAATTAAAAATAATTTTATTAAAATAATTTCACTATTTTTACTAATTTCTTAATATTATCATTTCTTTCATTCTTTTTCCTATTACAAAATATCTTTCTAGTACTCTGAGGAAATTAGAAAAATCCCAATATGCCCACGAGTTTGCCCATTTACATTGAAATTTTAAGTACCATTTATTGGATAAAGCAAAAAAATTTAATATTTCCGTTTTAAAATTTAATATTTTCGATCTTGGAATTTAGTATTTTTGGTCTTAAAACTTGATATTTTCGTTTCGACGAGTCTCACTTACCACCAGCATTCTGATGAGTTACGTTCGTTCGATCGGGCTGCAGTAGAATTACTGCAGTTCCTTTTACGTAAAAATAACATTCGGAAATCGGGATCGGTTGCCTCATTGTAGGCGAACCACATTCCGATGCATCGATATCCTGCAAAAATTATATGTCAGGACGATAAGGGTGACTCTATCTAAAAGGAGAAATTACATGAGAAATAATTTTACTTAAAGTTGCTATAATAAATACGGATTTTCGGTCCTCAGGTCAACTAAAACCGCCGAATCGGATAAAGAGATAATAAATAAAGGGATCCCGGATATCCACAGTAAAAATTGATGAGATTATCAGCTATCACTTAAACATCTAATCGCTAATATACTCAAAAATTATCGATTTATTTAAAATCCTCTTAATTAATCGACATTATAACCGTCGCATTGACGAGATCCAGTTGTGATGCTAAACTTTACATAAGTGTTGTAGAAATTTTAAAGATACAAATCATGAATATCCCTGGCTAGAAAACTGGATGAGGACAAGGGGCTTGAAATCGTCTA